TTTTTAGTAGAGACGGGGTTTCACCATGTTGACCAGGATGGTCTCGATCTCTTGACCTCGTGATCCACCCGCCTCGGCCTCCCAAAGTGCTGGGATTACAGGCTTGAGCCACCACGCCCGGCGAGGACATCAGCCTTCTTACTGGAGAAGGGCACTTCGACTTGGACTCTGTAATCTCATGACTCCTCATAACGCCACCATAAGCATATCACTCTCGCTTTATGGGTAAGAAATCTAAGGCCCACGGAGGTTATACAACTTACCAAAGGTGCTGCTACCAGGAGTGGAGAAGCAAGGATTCAATTCAAGCTGCCTGTTGGCTAAAACTGTGTTCTTTTCAGGACATCATTTAATTCCACATTATGGCTTTACAAAAACACTCCCTACTTACCGACTTGAGGTCATTTTAAAGAGACATAGAATAGAATCCATGAGGTCATTTTAAAGACACATAGAATAGAATCCATCCTCTTTTATGGTTTTGTTTTTTTTGAATGTCAAACTTAGATTTAGATCACCTGAGCTTTTTTCCTTATTTAACTCTGCTTTTTATCCTTACCGGCTTCCCAGTGTTTAAAAGATGAAAGTAAACAATTATTAAACATAGGAAGGAGCCACTTCCTAAGGCTATTCCAAAGACAGCAAAATAAATCTCACACTCAAAAAATAGAGAGAGAGAGAGACAGAGAGAGAGAGAGAGAGATGAAGGTGGCAGGGGGTGCAAGTGGGAAGAACTGAAGTAATAAACTGAAGAACAGTAAAACAAACAGTTATTCTGGTGTGACTCCTCACAAGACAGTCTGTACAATCTTCTCAGTGCAAACATGAGAGCCTACACCAAAGACACCAGGAGAGCAGCTTTAACATACTGCATTTGTAAGACATCTGCCTACAAGTTTGACTCTGGTCTTTCCAACAATTTAGATTCACAACACAGAGAGGAGCCATCTAAGAGCAGAGTGTAGAAAACCACAGGCACTATGGCAAACAATTTGCAGAAATTATTTATATTAATCACAGAAACAATTACTTTCCTAACATCAGTGATGATGGAGGAGGAACTTGCATGAATAACTCCAAATACTGGATATGCCAGCTGTCATTTATTTTGGGTTCTAGAATATCTTCTGAGAGCTTATGACTTTCATAATTAAGACTATATAAAGCTAATAAGACTAACTTCAGTTTCTGCAATTGGAAGTCTCACTCCTTGAGAAAGAGAGAAAAAGAAAGGTAATCAGAAAGCCTGCTGACGCTGGGCCTGAAGGACACACAGGCTGGGGACCAGGTGAAAGTAACCCTGACTCTCTTATCTTTAATCTCTAAGGGAGGATATTGCTTACCATGTTGGAACTTGGAACTGACAATTTAGAATCCTCTGAGTCACTCAACCTTCCAAATGCCCACTGCCAATTGCTTTTTAAATGCAGTGAATGACATGAAAAAATTTGCATACTGGAGCTATAAACTAGTGTCACTTTCCAAGAGAAAGGGCAGCCCATATACTATAACTAAAAACCAGAATAGCATAAATACACCACTGTGGAAGCACGGCAAAGCAGAGAGTGGTGTCTTGATGCAATTGTGAGGAAGGGGCTATATGGAGTCAAGATGAATTTTAAAAACCATAGAATTTAAAATCATGTACCCAGATGTAAAACTACTTGTATGAGGAAGGAGCTAGAGTTTATTAATAGTGTCTAGGGGTTCAGTGGCTTTTCAGTTGTTATTTTATATTGTTGAGGAGATTGTTTGTGGTTGAATTTTAAAATTGAGATGACCATACTTGCTTTGGCAGTACATATACTAAAATTGGAAAGATATTGGGAAGATTAGCATGACCTCTGCATGAGAATGACATATAAATTCATGAAGTGTTCCATATTTTGTTTAACATTTCTGTAGACACTGGGGACTACTGGGTGTGAGGAGGAACAAGGGGTGAAAACTAACTATTGGATGCTATCAGGCTCACTACCTGGATGATGAGATCAGTCGCATCCCAAACCTCAGAATCACAAAACATACCCACGTAGCAAACTTCCGCGTGTACCCCTGAATCTAAAATAAAAGTTGGAAATTATAAAAATAAAATATAGTAAAAATAAAATTGAGATGACCGAAGAGATCATTTAAAAAACACAAACGCACTGCAAGTGCTTCTAGGCTTTGCTCTTACCTGTATCCATCTCATCCACATTGCTGAGGAAGTCCTCTGGAGTTGTGGGGACACTGTAGCACCCTAACCCCAGGCCACTGTCAGTGCTCTGCTCCCTTGAATGATATGGTCCTCTGCAAAAGATGGAGAAACTTCAACGTGAGCCCACTAAGTAAATCTCAAAATTAAAACAAAGTCACAAAAGCTCTAAACTAGTGTAACTGTGCCATTCTGCCCAATTTTCCAGGTTGGGCAGGAAGGAAAGCTGACTCCAATTCCCTTTAATTTTAAAATGTATAAACTCATGAAAATGAAAGTAATCATGTGTGGTCATTCACAATAAATTGACATTGACTTCCTTTTCACCTCAAATGAACCATTTGAACATTCTTCTACATACAGAGTATGACACCATTTATGTAAGACTTTTTAAAAAACAAAAACAATGTTGAATATTGCTTATGGATACACAGACTAACAGGCAGTAAGAGCTATAAAAATCTATGTGATGGACACACACCACTTTCTGAAAATGGTTACCACTGGGAACAAAAGGGAAAAGAAATGAAATTTCAGTGGTTGGGGGATGGGCTCAAATATTAATTATAATCTTTATTTATTAAAAATAAGACTGGATGAAAATATGGCAAATCTGGGTAATGGGTACATGGGTAACTCATGTTATTCTTTCTACTTTTCTGTATTTCAAATACTTTAAAATCCACAACTTTAAAACTCCATTACTTATTATTTCAGCTACTGTTTGTTTTTATCTCTATCTTTAATAATGTTCATAATTGTATTTGTTTGCTTGCCAGATGCTTCTGCAAGGGCAGAAGAAAAGTCATAGGAAATAGAGCATTGCCCTTTTTATTTGATTTAAAAACTACTTTGGCTCATGAAGATATTTCTGGCTAAATTCTCTTTCCCTTTTGCTCCTTTGTTTTAATTACTTTTTAAATTGTGAAATAGTTTTAAACTCACATAGAAGATGCAACAAGAGTACAGAGAATTCCCATGTACCCTTCCTTCACCAGCTTCCCCAGTGATAACATCTTACATAACCATAGTGCAGTTACCAAAACCAGACTGTAGAATACTATTAAGTAAACTATAGACCTTACTCACATTTCACCCTGAACATCATCTTAATTGTTCTGTTCTCAATTTGCCATACAGCATGCTTTTATCCCCTATTGGTTACATAAAACCACAAGATTCTTCCAAGTACAAGTACTAGACAACACCATCGTGTTTAAATTATAGGTTCACGCCTATTTTCAAATTCTTAACTAGGGATTTACTCTGTATTATATCACCAGTTTTTTAATTGGGGAATTTTTTTTAAATGTGGATGATTTTCCTTGCTTTACTTTTTTCTGCCAGCTCCTCCCACTTCCTTCCTTTATTTTCACCCTCCACCCTCAAGCTCCCCACCTCTTCCCAATATAAACAAAGATCCTGCTCTAGTCTAGATCACATAATAAAGAGAGCAAAATAAGTGTGCCCCAAATATTAACTTACCCATTGAGGAAAGGATCTGAGCTGTTATTAGTGATGGATCTCATGTCTGGGGTCATGGCGGGCGGATTGACAGCAGCCTGAACTGGGGCAAGAGTCTCAGCTTCCATGGGGAGCTGTCGACAGAGGGCAGCTTCCTACAGAAGGAACAACAGTCAGAGTGGGAAGCAAGAGTCATTCACTCATTGTCACAAACCGTGGAGCAGAGTGTACTTCACATCAAAACTTTTCACCAAATACAAAGCACTGTGTATTTACTTCCAGTAAGTCAAAATCACCAGGCAACCGTTAGTATTCTTTCTCTGAAGAAAGTCTTACAGACTAAGTCACTTCACATTCACAAAGTTAATGGGAAGCTCAGCTATTATCTGACCTAAGGGCACTTAATGTTGCAATCCTCCCACCCATGCAATTATTTAAGCACCCAAATCATAGAAAGTCCTCTCAAAACACTTTCTCAGAGACAGGGCTATTTCTATCTCAGGTTCTCAAACCAAATCTACATCAATCAAAGCAATCAGACTCCTCTGGACTATAAGGTACATTCTGGTCTTTGCCACTTACAGGCCAATAAAACTGTGGGATTACAGAGTCCAGGCTCTAAATTGCATCTGGCAGTTTTACGGTTACAGGCAGGAAAGCAAAACAATGAGTTGAAAAGTTTGCTTTAAAAAGTCAATCAGTGGCCAGGCATGGTGGCTCACAGCCATAATCCCAGAACTTTGGGAGGTCAGTGTGGGCGGATCACCGGAGCCCAGAAATTCGAGACCAGCCTGGGCAACATGGTGAAATGCTGTCTTTACAACAAATACAAAAATTAGCTGGGCATGTTGCTACTTGGGAGGCTGAGGTAGGAGGATCCCTCATGCCTGGGAGGTTGAGACTAAAGTGAGCAGAGATCACACCGCTGCACTCCAGCCTGGGTGACAAAGTGAGACCGTGTCTCAAAAAAAAAAAAAGTCGACCCATTTGACTACTTTGTCGACTAAAATTCTGGAGCTGGGGAACCATGTAGATCCAATCCAAATCCCACAGACAAGTAACTGTTTCATAGCATATGGATTTCATTAGCAAAAACAAATAATACAAGCATTATTTTATAAAAGCTAGCATTACGTTGCCAAGAAGAGTCAATCCAAAAGGCTACAAATTTACTGACTGCAATTATTTCCTCTAGGTATAATCTCCAGGAGTCTCTCCATTTTGACAAACATGACCAGACATCAAATTCCTTTCAAATTTGCTGCTGTTTCCAGAAAAGAATACTTTTGTATGTTTACACTTGCATCCCAAACCAAGGTTAGGCCTTTCCCCATATTTATACCTATCAGTTTCCCACTTTCCATGCTGAAGTCATTGGTCTCACCATCCCTCAAACCCTAAAACCATGGCTACAATGGCAAACAGAACACTTAGGACTTCTAAGTTACAGTATCTTTGTTAGATCTCTTCTAGCCCTAACATGCTGTGACTTCAGAGCGTAAATGCTGTCTAGACAAGTCCTAGTGAAGTCATCGGCTATAAAAATTTTCAGTTACTAGAGTTCATTGTGCTGCTACAAACCATGAGAGACCTGATTGATTTTTTTTATACTGTACTGTTAACTTATACTGAAATAAATCTTCTAGCTGGAAAGGGTCTTTGGCTCACTTCTGTTAATCTAGATTGCAAATAATCAGAATACTTAACAAACAAATTTTGTTCAGGAATCTATAAAAAGCAAACTGAAAAACATGGAGATTTTGGTAAAAAGATTTCAACCATCATCTAAATCTTGGAAGTGCCTTCTGAATAAACCTAGAAAAATCAAATTATTTTCTGATAGTTGTTTTTAACATGGCAGGCAAGGTGCATTAGAAACGATATTATCCAGCCAAAGTTCTCCTGAAAGGCTCAGAAGGAACAACAGAGATTGAATCTGACATAAAAAGCCTGGACCCCAGCAGTCCCCATCCCTCACGTACACTTACACACCCTGAGCCACAGTTTGAACATTGTATCTGGTCAATGGTAAATTTCTAGTACTTTATTAACCATAAATGCAAGAATCTTTTGACTAATAACCCTCATTATCCATTAACACAAGTTTTACTAGACTCTTACATTTTTCAACCATTCTGAATAAATATGGGAGTTTACCTATAAATAAATATACTTTTAATATAAAAGTTGATGAGATGGCTGTATTCCTTTCTATTTGACAAAACTTTGTCAACATATGTCTTAAGAATACAAGTTGAGGGTGCAGTGGCTCACACCTGTAATCCCAGCACTTTGGGAGGCTGAGGAGGGCAGATCATGAGGTCAGGAGTTCAAAACCAGCCTGGCCAACATAGTGAAACCCTGTCTCTACTAAAAATGCAAAAATTGTTTGGGCATGGTGGCACATGCCTGTAGTCCCAGCTACTCAGGAGGCTGAGGCAGGAGACTTGCTTGAACCGGGACCAGGAAGGCAGAGGTTGCAGTGAGCAGAGATTGCACCACTCCATCCTGGACTACAGAGTGAGACTCCATCTCAAAGAAAAAGAAAAAAAGTTGAATGTGCACTTTCCAGGAGTTCTAAATTTAGATATAGTGTAGACATAGTAAGAATCATTTCTAGAACTTCATGGGATTAAAAAAATACATTATATATAACATATATGAATCATTATCTGTAATGATACATAAAATTAAATTATAAAAACAAATATCAAAAATTAGATATAAACTAAATAATTCTAAACTTTCCTATTAATTTAAATTACTCCTAGCTATTTCCAGTAAATAAAACATAAAATAATGCTTGTGTGTGCCTAAAGATATAAATAAAATTTAAAGGATTATTTAGAATAACCAAAGCTGAAAAGCCTACGCTATGTTGGGGGAATGTTTCACTGTGCCGTTTCACATTTGTTCTACCTATTTTAAATTAAAGAGAACAGAAGTTCTATTCTCCAGCATTGCTGTTTCCCTAACTACCCTGAAGACTTCACCACCAAGTCATCCTAAGGGCAAATGCTGCCTTCTGTCTGTAGGGGGCTCACAGTATCACTTTCTACCTTCAACTGAGTAATAAATGACAGAAAAATCAGAAAGGGTGTTAAATGATGTACTAGGAATTATTATTATTATTATTATTATTATTATTGAGATGGAGACTTGCTGTTGCCCAGGTGGGAGTGCAGTGATGTGATCTCGACTCACTGCAACCTCTGCCTGACGGTTTCAAGCAATTCTTGTGCCTCAGCCTCCCAAGTGGCTGGGACTACAGGCATGTGCCACCACACCCAGCTAATTTTTGTATTTTTAGTGGAGATGTGGTTTCACCATGTTGCCCACACTAGTCTCCAACTCTTGGCCTCAAGTGATCTGCCCGTCTTGGCCTCCCAAATTGCTGAGATTACAGGTGTGAGCCACTGCACCCAGCCTGAATAATACTTTGAAATATAAATTAGGCCAGTCTGAGTTAGAAAGTTATTATTTATAATACAACACTTTATCTAAGATTATTCCAAAATCATTCTTGGGTCACAAGTTATTCCACACAGCAGCCAAAGTGAAGCTCAAGTGACCCCCTGCTCTAAAGCCACCTGCTTCCTGTTCTACCTGGATGGTAAACAGAAGCAGGTCCTCACTGTAGCCCACCACACCCTGCATGACAGCCCTGGCCACCCTTTCCTCCCATGTCTCCGATGTGCTCCCCTCCTTCACCCCCTTCCAGTCTCCTGGTTTCTCTGCTGCCCCTCCCCTTTCCTGCACCTGCACCAACTGTTCCCTTTGCTTGCAAGGTGTTCCTCGGATCTTCCTAAAGCTCATTCCCTCACTTCATGCCTGCCTCATATAGATGTCACCTCTTCAGAGATGTTCCTACCTCACCCCTGTCTAAAATGGCCTCACTCTTGTCATTTTCTATTTATTTATTTATGAGACCTAGTCTCACTCTGTCACTCAGGCTGGTGTGCAGTGGCGCAATCTCGGCTCACTGCAACCTCCACCTCCCAGGTTCAAGCAATTCTCTTCCTCAGCCTCCCGAGTAGCTGGGATTCCAGGTGCCCACCACCATCCCTGACTAATTTTTGTATTTTTAATAGAGGCGGGGTTTTACCATCTTGGTCAGGCTGGTCTTAAACTCCTGACCTTGTGATCTACCTGCCTTGGCCTCCCAAAGTGCTAGGATTACAAGGTGAGCCACCATGCCTGGCCCACCCTGTCATTTTCTATCTCTTAATCTGCATTAATTTTCCTCAGTGTAACCCAGGTCTTCATTCTCTGTCTTTCCGACTAGAATATAAGCTTTACAAGGGAAGGGGCCTTGTTTATCATGTTCACTCCTGTATCTTAACTAACTTAACAGTGCTAGGCATACAGTGGGTACTTGGAAATATAAACTAAGAATATTCAATCTTACCTCAACCACAAATATGAGTGAAATAATAGCCTATTGTATACAACCCAACTAGCCAGGTGTAGACTCCATCCTCAGGAAATGGTCCTGCTGCACTCTTTCCTGCCCCTAACATAGGATGAACAGGAGGGTCGAATGGTCAGGAGACAGATGCCTGAATTGGAACCCTGGTCCTGCTATCTGCCAGCAAGTTATTTAACTCTCTGATCTTCATTTTTAAAGTGGAGATAGTAAGAGCACCCACCCAAGAAAGCTGCTGTGATGATAAAGTGGGATAACACTACTACAGTGCCCAGCACTCAAGATCACATCATAAATGCTTAAGGAATTACTACTATTATTTCATTTTCTGAATTCCAGTCTCAAAAAACTAAAATAAACAATTTTAAAAGTCACACTGTCGGCTGGGAGCGGTGGCTCACACCTGTAATCCCAGCACTTTGGGAGCCTGAGGAGGGCAGATCATAAGGTCAGGAGTCCAAGATCAGCCTGGCCAACCTGGTGAAACCCTGTGTCTACTAAAAATACAAAAATTAGCTGGGCATGGTGGTGGGTGCCTGTAATCCCAGTTACTTGGGAGGCTGAGGCAGAAGAATTGTTTGAACCCGGAAGGCGGAGGTTACAGTGAGTCGAGATCGCACCACTGCACTCCAGCCTGGGTGACAGGGCAAGACTCTCTCAAAAAAAAAAAAAAAATAAACTGATAATATAGATGAATGTTATAATGTTCTACAACATGGGTGAATTTTA